AACAGACTATACACACTTTATTGTAAGTGGGCAGATTGGTGTTCGTTCCTGGGTAACGCTCGGCGGACTTTCTAGTTGGCTGTAGGTAGCGCACCTGTTTTTTTTATCTTATATACATATATTTCTTTAGAAAATTCTGTTGCGAACAAATTGATACCAAAATGAACGATATAACACGAAAATTGATGGATAAGGCTCGGCTAATTTTCGGGTTTGCTGCGGGTGGCATGCCGGACTTTTTGACCTATATACTGTACCTCTATTCCTTTAGAGAATTTTATTGCAAACACTTTGATACCAAAATGAACGTTGTAACACGAAAATTGAGGTGAAAAAACTGAAAGGAGTATACAGTGGCACCTCGACATACGATTGCCCCTACTTACGATAATTTCGAGTTACGATGTAAATTTCATCGAAAAATGCGACTCGACTTCCGATGGTGTCTTCGACTTCCGATATTTGTTGGTACACGTTCAGGTTGACCGAGCGCGTGGTTCCCAGTCACGCGGCCGACCTGCCTCAGTTTACTACAGCTGCCCGCTTAGTGACAATCGCTCCTATAAGAAATTCCGCTTTTGTGGTGATTTTTTGCATTTTGAACATTAAAGTAATTATTATATATCACGCCATGAGTCCCAGGAAAGTCAGTGGTAAGACTCAACATATGAAAACCCATGTAAGGATGACCATAGAGCAGAAACAAGAGTACAGAATGTCTCTTCCTCAACAATTAAGAAAAAGTGTGCAGCACAGGAAGAATTGCAAACCGTTGCTGAAACTCGCCCAAATCAAGCTGCAGTAGGTCGTTGCCTTAACCTATTCAATGACATTGTGATGCATCTTTACAGACAAATGTTAAAACGAAGGGGAAAAACAAATGTCTCTTGACAAATTTGTAGTGAGACAAACAAGCACTGAACCATAACCAGGTCCTAGTGGCATTCAGGCAAAACGTAGGAGAGGAGTACATCGGAGAAAACATCACTGCCTGATGTGATAATGGAAGGGGACTCCCCTTCCAAACAGTAACAACTCTCCTCCTCCCCCCTCATCACCATCTTCCATACCCCATCAAGAGCCCTCCATAAAGGTAAGAGAAACTTAGGTACTGTATTGTAGTTAGAAAAAAACATTGTATTCAGTATAAAATGTATTTGTATGTTAATATTTTGGAGGGTGGGGAACGGATTAATTCAATTCCCTTTATTTCTTACGGGAAAAATCGCTTCGACTTACGATATTTCGACATACGATCCGTCTCTGGGAACGGATTAGCATTGTAAGTCGAGGCTCCATTGTACACATTTGTGTGTAGGTGTTGCGGGTGTGCCAATGGGTGCTCGCTCACGGGTAACACTTTGCTGTCTATGGGCTTTGCTGTGGGCTGGGTGTGCCGGGCCCTTTGGACCTTATATGCATATACCCTTGTAGGGAATTCTATTGCGAACACATTGATACAAAAATGAATGACATAACTCGAAAATTTAGGCGAGAAAACTGAGAAGAGTGTACACATTTTAGTCTGGCTGCGCACTGATGCGAAACGCCCGACCCCACTTCAGGTAGGCTGGGGCACACGCGCTGGGGGTGGCAAATTGTTAAAGTACTGTATGTCATAATTGCCATCGATCAGGAAAGGACCCAGAAAGGTAGGCAAATCAAAACAGACCACTGACTGTTTAACCTCTTCAATGTACATCCTATAAGATTAAAATAACTCTCCTAGAAAAAAATCAATCAAGCAACCCTTCATGCAACTAGCACTTCTGCTCACTAGTGCTATGCCCCCAAGGAAGGGAGAGCCGGCAGCCCACCACTCTAGTTCTTGAACGATGAAGACTGCCGACCATAGGGAGAGAGGGTGGGTGTCAGGCAGCCTCCAGGGCTCGCCCAGAAAATGGCGTTCCATTACATTCAATGCTGGTTTTCTGTGGGGAGCCCTGTCGGCTCCATGAAGCTAACTACCCAAAGATAAGTAAAAGAAGGGACTAACTGAGAGGTGGCAGCACCGCAGGTCTCGCAAGACGAAGAGAGATGGCCACGACAGGCGCCCCAAAGCCACACATGGTCAGGAAGGAACTGAAACATTTACTAAATACCTGGTGACTAGGATCCTGTTCAACTTTCAAAACCCCCCGTACCCGAAGGTCTACCCAAGACATGTTGCCAAAAACCACTGCGAGAGCAGCATACTTCCGAATGTCATGGGCACGAGGGTAGAGTGCAGGCTGGCTGGACTTTAACCCTCAAACAGTGAGGGATCCAAATGGCTTCAACACCCAAAGGCGCAACAAAAACAAAAATCCAAAAAATTCTTTCATCTTATAAAAGTGTTCATTTGTGTTCCCTGATCATGGAAAAAATAACAAAAAAATCGTAGGTGGCATATTTTAGCCACAATATGGTAGGGAAGTCTGACAAAAAAGGGGCGTTGACAGAGCCTTTGCCAAACGACGTCTACTCCGCCCGAGCTGTCAGGCGGCAGTTGCCACAAATATATTATTACCTAATTATTTCAAAATCTCTGATTGATTTTTTCTTTGTTTTTTTGCAGTAATATTATTCAGTATTGTGCATTGTGATATATTTATATAATAAAATGTGTGAACCATTGCTGTACTCAAAATTATGGTGTGCATATTAGTGATTCAATTTTATGTTCATAAAACAATAAACAAATAGGTTTGCTGTTATTACACTATATACACAGGTTATATATAAGTATCTGCATGTTTTGCTCACCATAACGAACCACTAAGTTGGTATTTGGTATTGTGAGTCAAAAAGCAACGAGGAGTAACCGCCACCACTCCCTCCCTCAACAACACCTCACTTGCCCTCATTCTTCTCCCATAATACTGTTTTTGCATTTATTCACCATACACAGACGTTATATATAAGTATTTACTTGTTTTGTTCACCATAACTGTACATCTAAGCTTGTATGGTGAGTAAAGGCACAAAGACGTAGCTACTCACACAGTCAGCTGGTGGCGGCCGCCCTCAAGGCCAGACGCACTAATATTTCGCCTCCAACAATATTGTTTGTGGTATTATTATGCTATATACACACATTATATACAAGTATCTACCTGTTTTATTCACCATACCTGTACAAATAAGCTGGTATGGTGCCCAAAGACCATAGTGACCACCAGTAAACAACATGACAAGTCGTGCAGACGACGCACCTCCTTCACCAAAATGGTGGCTCCCAACCTACTGCTATTGCTGTTATTACACTCTATACACACGTTATATATAAGTATCTACATTTGTGTTCACCATAGCGGACCACTAAGCTGGTATGGTGAGTGCAGACAATAAATGTGGCCACACAGTCAGAAGATGATGCCTCGACCCTCCCTCCCACAGCATTACTCCTCCCTCTATGGAGCACAGCACTAAATATCACCACAATCCTGCTATTATCAGAATCCTGGTCAGTTTTATCACAGTCAGGGGTCTTCTGTAATACTATCATCGTTAAATAATAGCATGAACATATATATTTTGACATTTTTAGACGATGCTGTGGTCACAAGCTGAACAGCAGTTCTGTGCGCTCATGGTGTGTGCATCAGCCTTGGTGGCTCGTTTAGTACTGAAGCTCTCACATCCAGGAACGTTGGTCACGATTTTTTTTCTTGGTGGCATCTGTCACCGATCAGTCGTGGCGGCACTATAGCTGCCCCTATCCCACGCGGGGCGTTTAAATTAAGGCACTAGACACTAAAACAGCTATTAATGTATTGCGGGGTTTCGGTTTTGTTACTGAAATCATCTATATATGTATTGCGCGGTTTAAGGGTTAAGACACTATGGATAACATGAGACGCCTGAGCTCTAGAACAGGGAACCAAGGAAACCGGATCCACCCAAAGAGCATCCACCATTACAGAACCAGTGGCCCTCTGGTAGTGGCGTAAAGCTGCCATCGGACATAACGTGATGCATCCCCGGCCTAACCAACCAAGTATCAACAACCAACGGGCCCCTCTGGAGGCCAGCCGTCTCATTCTTCACCAGAAAAGGAGGAAAAGGCTGCAAACAAGCAAAACAATCATCTGGACTAAAGAAATAGAACCCCCGGTATTGGAGGAGAGCATTAAGCTCTCCAACCTGACCCCCAAGAGGCCAAGGCCAACAAAAACTTATCAGTTCAGATAGCTTCAGGAAGCTTCTGGGCCTGACCCAGAAAATGGTGTTTCATTACATTCATCGCTGGTATTTAGCTAATGTGCTGTGGGCTGATTATCGCATCTGGGGGTTTAGGAGATCTAACAGTCTTGGTGGCTCTGTATCTGGTCAGTGTTCCTGGTACCATTTGGGCACGAGTGTTCCTGGGACTGGTTTTACGGACTGGTGTTTCTTCTTTAGCTTTGAAGCTGCTACCTTCCCTCCTTGTAAGTCCCATGTTTCCTTGTTCAGAGAGCCACCAAGGGACTTCTCTCAGAAAACCAGCATTGAATGTAATGAAATGCCTCTTTCTGGGTCACAACTGGGGAATCCCCGACTCCCCAAGTTTATTTTACGCAGTAGTCTTAGATCTCTCCCATCCCATATCTCATCTTAAGCCATACCCCTACTAGTTTTCCTTAGAACCTTGATCTGCCAAACAGTTTATAACCAGGTACCAGTTGCTGTTGGGTGAACAGGTGTGTACAATTAAGGATTGGTGCTCAGTTGGCCCTCCCTGCAGAAGGAGTCGAACATTGCTGAAATTACTCACAAGATGTGGGGGTGAGCATGCTACCACTACATAACAGGGCACTACAACTTTACCATTCTCTCCTCAGGCATTCATTTTTCTTGAGAAATTTTGTTCTCAATAGATACTTCTCCATTATATTTTCAAGGTTTTTATAGACTAACACATACTTTCATCATTTTCTTTTCCTTGGGTATACTATAGTTTAATTATTTTAAAATTTTTAATGTTATATTTTTTCTGCAATAGGCTATGCAATTGGTAATTTCTTCCTTTTATTTTACAGGCGTTTTGGAATACAGGACAATGACGATTTTTGGGTATGCAATGATCCACTGTCAGAATTTGTCATTGTTCAGCGAGATTACGTCAAAAGTCCGAATGCATTATCTCTGCTAAATAACTCTTCAGCATTTTCCCGGTTGCCTTTGACATACACCTGGTCTCCTGATGAACTGTAAGTTTTCCATATCTGTATGTTTATATCTAAGCTTCTGGTGGCTCCTGAAGCTATCTTGCTGAGATTGTTCCATACCATAAATCAATCCATTGCTCCATATGTAAAGGTCAAACCAGCACAGAAGTTCTGTTTGGCCTACCATGATCTAGAACCTTTACCTAGCCCCTCCTCCTTACAGAGGCATCAAGAGCAAGGGACAGCCTCCCCCCACTGGAAAAAAAGCCTCCAGAAATTTAGTGAGGCTTTACAGACCACTGTAGTGTTCAGGTTATTATTATATTGTAGTTATAAGTTAGGTATGTATGTATGTATGTATGTATGTATGTATGTATGTATGTATGTATGTATGTATGTATGTATGTATGTATGTAATGTATTCATGTATTTATGTATGTAATTATAGTGTAGTGTTGCACATGAAATTAGTCATGGGCAAGCCCCCTCCTGCTTCAAGTTAACCACAGTACTGCACTATCTGTGATATCATAGGGAATGAGGGTAATATCATAGAATGAATGAGAAAGGAATGAACTGCCCTACATATCACGTTTGTCAGAATATCGTAAGATTCAAAACTCCTGCAGGTACACAAGGCTCGCATCCTGTTTCTCAGGACTCCAGAAAACAGAGGTCATCTTGAACATAAATCCTCTGCATCCCTCCTGGCTGTGAGAGCCTCAGTACTGCTAGAGCAACCAATCAGCTGGCACATGCAGCTGTAGCTGATAGCACAGCTATGCAAGTTGGGGCTACAGCACCACTTAATAATCATGAATAAAATAAGTACAGCTCAATTATCCGGACTTTATGGGAAGGACTCCTCGCCGGATAAGCCCGACATCCGGAGAAGCAGAATTCTTACAGGGGAAGTTAAAAAATGACCATATAAGGCTCCCCGGAACTATCCAGGCTGATATGGATATATTAGTCAATGTGAATAGAGTTCTTGGCCTACTGGGGACCATGAGCCAGAACCTGGCCCCCCCTCAGAGAGGCATGAGGAGCAATGGCCTATAGAAACCCCCGTGTGGTTGGAAGCATTCTATGTCTGCCATCGGCTGGGTCAGGCACCCAGAAAGGTAAGCACCTTCAAAACAAACCCCCTATTCTGGTTAAGAAATTGCTACTAAAAGCCGAACTAGTGGACAGAACTCCTAAAAAAAATGAGTAAATGAGCATAACATCACAACGTCACTTGTCTGCCCAGCTCCCACCCTCCTCGGGAGGGGGAAGGGAGAGCCCCAGACCCTCACACCGGCTATCAACACCCTAGTTCTTAAGCTGATGTGATTGGCAATGGTCGTGTGACTGTGACTTCTGTTTTCCTGTCCTCCAGCTCTGTGCCTTGTGGTGTGGTGCTGTGTCCTTGGTAGTGCATGAGCCAGGAGTAATTTCACAAGTACTTGGGCTGCATGCACTTAGGGTCACCTTCCCTAGGTGCCTGTCTGAACTTCCCATGGGACTTGGGCCCACCTTCCCCCGAGTCACCTTATGGTCTACCACTGCTTGGTCTTTTGCTGCTCGGTGATTGACCATCCTTAGTGTGCTGGGGTGTTTCATGTGCCCTTGTTTGTCCTTAGGTTGTCCTTAGGTTGGGGTAGTTTGCACTGGTAGAGGTGCAGGGTACTGTGCAGCTAGTTTTCACCTTTCATTGCAGCCAGCTCTGTTCCGCCTGGGTACGCTGTCCTCTTGCGAGGTTTTTGTTTTGTTTGTGTTTTCTTGCCTGGTAGGGGGTCTGAACCTTGGTTTTGGTCTCGCCCTCTTGTACCTTGGTGGTCCCCCGCTAGGACCCCTGTGAGTGTGCACGTCCCAAGGGTGCAGCTTTAGCAGTTTGTTGGTAATATTGGGCGCAGGTTAGCAGCACCCTGCCTGGGTTTCCCTGAGCATGAGTTCTGTCTCAGGACCCTGGGAAACTCTGTGGGGGTACGTGGGTCCGATGGATGTGACCCCTGGGTCTCCCCTCACCTTGTGAGAGTTTGTGGGTTGCTTGGTCCTCATGTCTCCGGGTGAACTTCACAGTTTATGCCTCCAGCATGCTGCCTGCTGGGTCGGTGACACCTTCGACCAGGCATCCTGTGAGTTTTGTTGCTTGTTTGTGACTCGCTACACCCATTCCACTGAAGACTCTTGTTCAGGGGCAGACAGCTCAGGCATTGTAAGCTCATTTTAAGTTGCTGCAACATGATAGGTTGGTTGCTGACCCGGAAGCCCCGAGGCTGCCCCATTTTTGTTTTAGGGACCTAGACTTGGGGGTGTTCTTCGCTTTGACTTTGATTCAGTCTGCACCCCTTCGTCCTTTCGCTGCTGTGGTTCATCCTGGTCCTTCCCCGACCCCCCACTGCTTCCAGAGCCGAAACGTCTGGGGTTTCAGGGTCGGGGCAGGGTTTAGTTGGTTTTGGGACTCGGGCGGTCTCGGGGGATGCCTTTCCAGGTTGGCGATGGAGGCATATGAGCCGGTTCCTCTTGCCGAAGCATCTGGGTCTGACCAGTCGGCCCCCCTCATTCATGCTTTTCCGGCTGCTTTGGCTTCTTTTGAGGCTGGGACTTTGGGGGATGGCTCGGCCCCAGGTCCTGCTGTGGGGGTTCCTGAGGCCTGGGAGGGGTTGACTTGTGGGGCCTTGGGCCCCGTTGGACCCCGCTTGAGATTTTTGTAACCTCTGAGTGGGGCTTTTTGTTACAGAGAGTGGGGTTTTTCTTTCCCCCCTCTGCGTACCAGTTTGGTTTGGTGTTAGCCCCTCCCTGGGATCGGTTCTGTCCTTCTAGAGGTTTTCGGCTTCCCGCATCCCGGTTCATGAGGTTCGGACGGCCATTGCGGTTTACTTTCTGTGCAACCCAGATTTCACCTCTATAATGGATCTGTCTTCGTTCAGGTTTAGGTCTTCGTCTCCCTACTGGATTCGTTATGAGGTTCCAGAGTGATTCTGGCTAGTGAACTGCCCTGTGTTGTCTTTGGATGCTTGGAGTACTTTCTGTTGTACCCGCATGCTTGAGTGGCGCGAGGTGCTGACTGTGGTCCAGGTTTACCTGGGGCGGGGCTACTTCTAGAACGCAAGCTGGAGCGGCTCTGCCAGCACCACCCAATACGAGGTGACAGGGGCACGGTCCCAGATAACGGTCCCGGAACAACCCCGAAGAGAAGACAAGCCAACCCTATCAGAGACCGAAGGACCCTTCGCAGTGATAGGAAAACCGGAAGGACCGCAAGGAAAACCACACACCACCCCCGAGACGAAACACGCAGGTGGGAGACCAATAACGAACCTACCAGTGCCGACACAAACGACAAGAAACTAGCACCATGAACGAAAGTGCAAAATGCGAATCGAAAAGCAGCGACCCCGCAACCCAAAGGAAGAACATAACCAGCTCCAGCAGAGAAGAATGATGCATGCGTCCCAGAGGCATCCAAGAGGACAACTACGCAGGACGTGAACCGCAGGAAAGCAAACACACCCGTTCCGGAAAAGAAACAAAGAAAAACCGGAGCCAGGACCAGAACCCAGCTACCGGTTCCAAGAAAAGGAACGAGTAAGGCAGGAGCAGCAGACTGAAAGTCCACAACCCCCCCCCCACAGACAGTGCAACACCGAAGCCTGCAGTAAGTCACAAAGAAAATCGAAGGAACTCGGTACCAAAACGGAAAACCGGAGAAGTCCAAAAGCAGGGAACTGAACATGGACAGAGACCCACCCGAGCACCCAACATCAGGATAGTCAAGAAGCACTGACCCAGATACACAAACAAGTGTAGCATAGGAGGAGGAAAAACGGAAATAGGTAAGGAAAACCCCGAATACTGACCAAGGAGTGGCCAGGAAGCACACGACCAACCACAAAATGTGTAGAGGAGGGTGTACATATCCGAGGGACCTCATGGACAGCAGGGGTGTAGCCAGGCACTGAAGATAGGCAAGGAATGAGTGTCCTGATAGGGAAAAGACCCAGGTGCCGGCAACGAACAAAGAACAAGAGACATGGACAAAGGAGTCACTGAAGACACACGCAAGGTGACCAAACACAACACACCACACCAAACACCCCTGTTAGGAGCCATCGACGCAACCCCGCCAAGCGGGTAAGAGTAAACAAGGATGGAGCAGTGACCAAAGGTGGTGTAGCGAGTAGATTATCCCAATAATATACTTGCTCCAAACCCATTAGCCTAATGAGAGAAGCAAAGCTCCTCTTAGTACTAATTATGGAACTCAAACCTTTCCCTACTTCCAGTTAATATTCCTGCCAACCTTCGGAGAACGGTGAGGTGTTGCCCGAGCATATAAGCAGCAGAGTAGCGAATAATAACTAGTCTACTTTCAAGTGTGGTCTAGAACATACACTTGCGAGATACTGTACCGACTCACAGTGCGCTCAACTCACACCATTGCCCGCCAAAGTATCACCCGCATACTTCTGTATACTCGACCAAATATATATAGTCTCTTAGTGTTTGTGTTTATTGTCACCATTCTTTACGTAACAATAGCAATTACTACAATTATGTAACAATAACAGTTACTTTTTGCCGTCCCTCAAGGTGCGTTGTGCAGTGCAGTGGTTAATCCTAATTTTTCTCCAGAATTCGTCCCTCCAAATCATTTATACCCATTCACTGCTGGGTGAATAGTAATCTTGTACATCTCTCTACTTCACCAGAGATATCTGCTCTGTGGGATTGGTGTCCTCCCCCACTTATCTGAATCATCGAGTTAGCTTGCTTCTTGGCAGTGTGTGGAATTTATTCTCATCTGGGGCATGGTGATGGAGACAAGTCTTTTGTATCAGATATTAATATGTTTGCTTTATGTTGCACTTCACATAATGCTTTGCATTTCTTAGATTTTAAGTGGGCATGTTAACTGACCAGCCTATTTTGTCTAACTCTACACACAATGTGTGTTGGTGCCTTGTGCTCTAGCTGATGAGATGCCTGTGTATTTCTTTCTTGGTGGCTTTTGCCTTCCCTTGATAAGGTGTTTTGATCAGGGTTCAGGGTCTTCTTTTCCTTGAAGGTAACTTGCCTACCTCTTTATATGAAGCTTTAGGTGGTTAGTGTCTCTCATCCCTATGTAGTTTGTGAGTGTCTTGTATGGCTAGGTTGTTATGGTATCCACATCTGACGTCAGACTTGGCACAGCATTTTGCAGTTTTTGGATTGCACATTGGTACCTTTCAACTTTGATAGCTATTCATTTTGCCTTTGTCACTGCTTGCTAGCACCTAAGGATTGGACCGAACCTCTGAGACCCACACTGACTTGAATGCCGTGAGTTGTAATTAGCACACGATGCATAAAATATTAGAAGATGGGAGACAAAGTTAAATCTCAAATTGTTGAAATTGATAGGTGAGAACTTGGGGTTGATTCCCTAGCTCCTTATTTGATCATTCTGGATCATATACAAAAGGTACATACAATTCTAATACCTAGGGTGTTACCAAAAATGTTTTCATATTGATTTCAAGCCTTATTTTTTCTGTTTAGGCAGTGTACTGTGATTATCAATGGAGTAGAAGTTGCCAAAGCTGGAGGAGAGAATATGAAAGCATCCAAAGAAGCAGCAGCAGCCGAAGCTTTGGAGGTTCTGTCTCACCGCTGTTACACACTTCAGGTACGCTGCTGCTACAACAACACACAACATTACATGTCAAATTTCTGTCAACTGCAACATTTTGTTATCTATCACCAATGCTGTCATTGCAGTAAGTCATAATTTTAACTTATTTAATGAAAACTGCTGTGAGAAAAATTTAGTTGTGGGAGCATCTGTTGATTTGTGAAGACCTGAATAACCAGAGTTTATTAGTTTTCTGGGGGAAGCCTCTACAACTTCCCGGAGCTATCCAGGCTGATAGGAATAGTCCTACCTTTTGGCATCAGTCGATGTGGGTGGAGTTCTAGGCCTACCGGGGACTAAGGCCAGAACCTGACCCCCTCAGAGAGGCACGAGGAGTAATGGCCTATAGAAATGCACATGTGATTTTGGAGCTTTCTATAACTGCCATTGACCGGGACAGGCACCAAGAAAGGTAAGGGCCTCAAAACAAACCTCTATTCTGGTTAAAAACAATGAAAATAACCAAACAAGCGGACAGAACTCCCCCAAGTGAAAATGAGCAAACGAGCATGATGTCACACGAGCCGCACCGCATGTCTGCGGAGCTTCCCCCTCCCCGTGAGGGGAAAAGGGGAGCCTCAGACCCCCGCGCCGGCGATCCACACCGCAGTTTCTCGGCTGATGGGATACAGCTTGGTAGTTGTGGCTCCAGCTCCGGATTTCTGTTGTGCTGTCCTCTGCTCAGTACTGCTCTACTGGTGGTGTGCGAGCTGGGAGTAATATTCACAGGTACTCGGGCTGCATGTGCTTAGGGTCACCTTCCCTGAGTGCCCTGTAAGTACCACACTAGGGGCTTGGGGTTCCCTTTCACAAGTCTCCTTGGGTCTACCTCTGTTAGTCTTTTGCTGCTTGGTGATTGACTGCCCTGAGTGTTTTGGGGGGTTTCCTCCCTAGTTTGCCTTAGGGGTAAGTCGTAGTTATAGCACTGGCGGGGGCACGGGGTACTGCATAGCTAGTTTTCGCCTATAACAGCGGCCGACTCTGTTCCCTCTGGGTACGTTGTCGTCTTGCAAGTTTTTTCTTCTTCTTTTTGCCTGGTGGGGGAGGGGGTTCTGCCTTGGTGTTCCTTCCCTCTTTATACTCGGGTTGTTTGTGTTTGGTGGTACCCCCTGCTTTGCCCTCGTGAATGGACACGTCCCGGGGGCTTAGCATTAGCAGTGTTGATTGGTAGCTTGGGTGCCGGTTAGCAGTACCCTGCTTGGGATAACCCTTAGCAGACCCAGTCTAGGGGCCCTGGAAAATCCTACTGGGGCGCTCGGGTCCAATGGATGTGACCACTGAGTCCCCTCTCGCTTTTTGCGAGTTTGAGGGTTGCTCTGTCCCCGTGTCTCAGGGCGACGCACATTGTTTTTGCTTCTGTCATACCGCCTGTTGGGTCGGTGACACCTTTGACCTCGATTGCTGTGAGCTTTGTTGCTTGTTTATGACTCGGTTCACAATCTGATGATGACATTATTCGGATGCAGGCAGCTCGCGCTTTGCAATTTAGGTTTTGGTTGTTGCAGCACACTATGTTGCTTCCCTGGATGCCCCAAGGCTGCCCTGTTTTGTTTATAGGGACCCGGACTTGGGGGTGTTGGTCACTTCGGCCTCGGTTCTGTCAGCGCCCCCCCTCGTTCTTTCCCTGCTGTGGTTCATTCAGTTCCCCCACCCCCTTGCTTTCGGCTCCTAAGCATCTGAGGGCTTCGGGGTCAGGGCAGGGTTTAGAGGTTTCTGAGACTCTGGCAGTTTCTGGGGTTGCCCCTTCCGGGGTGGTTGCAGAGGCATTCGAGTCCGTTCCTCCAGTCATAACTACGGGGTTTGACCAGTGGGCCCATCCTCTTCCTGCTATCCCGGCCGCCCCGGCTTTTTCGTGTGAGGCCAGGGCTTTTGGAGGACGACTCGCCCCCGGGGCCTGATGTGGGGGTTCCCGGGGTTTGAGAGGATTTGACTTGGGGGGCCTTGGGCCCCATTGGACCCTGCCTGGGTTTTCTGACTCTCCGAGCTGGGCTTGCTGTTACAGGGGAGTGGGGTTTTCCTTCCTCCCCTCTGTGTATGAATTGATTTGGATTCGGTTCCGTCCTTCTGGAGGTTTTCGGCTTACTGCATCTCTCCGGCTGAGGTGAGATGGCAGGAGATAAGCCATTGTGGCTTATCTCCTGCACGACCCGGTGTATGCCTCTATAACGGATCCGTGTTCCTTTAGGTTTGGGTCTTCGTCTCCATACTGGGTTTGTTATGAGCTTCTGGAGTTGTCCTGGCTTGCGGACTGCCCTATGTTTTCACTAGATGGTTGGGACACTCTCTGTCATACCCGCTTGCTTGAATGGTGTGAGGCGTTGACTGAGGTCCAGGTTTACCTGGGGGACGATTTTGCACACCTAAATATGTGCCTCCCTAGTGCCAACCACTTATTTAGTATGTCAGGGATACCACCATTATCTAAGCTCCAGCTCCAATAAATGTCTAGAGCAAGTGAAATAAAAATTGTCATCCACACTTCCGTTGAAATAAACATTCCATTCACCTGGGTTCTAGGAGACTCAAGGAGGTGGATAGTGTGATGTTTTTTTACAGTTCTTGATGAATATGAAGGTCCAGAATCAGGGTGAGCTGCAGGTCCTGGTTTTTTCTGAGGGGAGCCCCTTCGGCTCCCTGGAGCTTATTGGGCTAATGTATTTTATATTAGACCGGGACATCAGCTATGGAGTTCAGACCTACCAGGGACCATGAGCCAGAACCTGGTCCCTTCAGAGAAGTTTCAGGGTTATCTTATCTCGAGGTTATCTGGAGATGATTTTGGGACTTAGCGTCCCTGCGGCCCGGTCCTCGACCAGGCCTCCACCCCCAGGAAGCAGCTCGTAGCAGCTGTCTACTCCCAGGTATCTATTTACTGCTAGGTAACAGGGGCATCAGGGTGAAAGAAACTTTTACATAAAATGAAAGTAACATTGGCCAGGGAGCAATAACCCCTCGAAAACCCCCCTGTGGTTGGAGTTTTCCTTATCTGCCATCGACCGGGGTTAGGCACCCAGAAAGGTAGGCATAACAAAACTAATCCCACATAGTAAGAAACTAACAAAAAAGGAACAGTGGTAGAACTCCCTTCAATCCCAAGGAAACAAGCAAACAAGCAAACATAACACACTACTGCCGCGCCGCTCGTCCGCGGCAGTAGTGCCCTCCCCTCCCCGAGAGGGGGAGGGGGAGGGCTGCGTTGACCTCACAGTGCCGGCTGCCTAGCACTCCAGTTCATAAGCTAATGTCAACCGGGACAAACGCTTCTCTGGCCTCAGTTTCCTAGGTGGTGTTTACCTCCGTGGCGCTCACTGCTGTGTTATTGTGTTGTGTGGTGGCCAGGAGTTACTCATCAGTACCGGGGCTGCATGTGCTTAGGGGCTTCCTTCCCTAAGCGCCCTGTGAGTATTGCCCCTGCGTGACAGTTATCTTCCCTGGTGCGATCGGGAATCATTCTTGTAGGGGTTCTTGCTGCTTGCCATTTGCCTCGCCCTTGGGGCCTGCTGGGGCTTGAGGCCCTTGTTTGGCCTTGGGTAGGGACTGGTATCGTGCTGGTTGGCGCGTCAAGGTGTTGCGCAACCTGCCATCTAAGCGGCGACTGGTTCCTGTTGCCTTTGGGGACGGTGTACTTTTGCGGGTTTTTTCTTTTCCTTTTGTTTTCATTTGCCTGGGGGGGTGGTCTGGCTGGTGTGGCTATACTTCCACTGGTATTGTTTGGTGGCCCTCTGCTAGGCCCCCGTGATTATACGCGTTGCAGGGGTTTTCAGTGTTAGACTCAATACCCAAAGCTAACAAGGGGTAAACTGTTCAGCGCCACTTTGCCCGGGCTTACAGTAGTCGTCACCCTACGGTCCCTGGAAATCCCTGTCGGGGCTTTGTGGACCAGTGGATGTGTTGTCTGGGTTCCAACCCATCTTGTGCGGGTTCGTTGGTTGCTGTGCCCTTGTCTCAGGGTGGCAGTCACCTCTTTTACCTCCGTCATGCTGCCTGTTGGATCACTGACACCTTGACCCGGAGTCTTGTGAATTGTGTTCTTTGCTTGTTCTCCAGTACTCTTCTGATGTCTTTACTGTTAGAGTACAGGTGGCATCCGCATTGCACGCTCAGTTTTGGTTGCTGCAACACGCTAGGTTGGTTTCCCACCTGGATGTCCTGGGGCCGCCCTGTTTTGGTTAGGTGTTGTTCGCCCCTTTCCCCTCCCTGTTCCTGGCTCCTGACCATCTGCAGGTTTCGGGGTCGGGGTGGGGTTTAATTGGTGCTGAGACTCGGGCGGCCTCGTTCGGTTTGGGGACGGAGGTTTTCGAGCCTGTTCCTCCTGCCGAGGCTTCTGAGTCTTACCAGCAGCCCTTTCTTTGCTGCTTTTTCCCCGGACTCTTCCTTTTCTTTAAGGGCAGAGGGCACGGAGGACGGCTCTGCCCTGAGGCCTCTGTTGCGGGTTCCCAGGGCTGTGGGGGATGCCTGCTAACAGTTCTGGGGCTGTTTGCCCCTTCCTGGGTATTCCGCTTTCTGGACGGGGTTTTTCATCCCCCTCATCTGCTTGCTTCCCACATTTCCTGAAGTGTTTTATAGATCTCTTTCGTCGGTTGCGTCTCCTTTGTTCTGATGGCCATTTTCTTTCTGTAGGTTGCTTTTCCGCCTGGCCACTGGGTCAGCTCTGCGGTTTGTTTACCTGTGCCTGGGTGTGCGAGCTCGCAATTTGGGGGAGTTTTTCACCTCCTTTAGGGGTTTTATCCTGTTGCCTTTTCTTTGCTTTTTCTGGGGGTGTTCTGCCCTTCTTCTGTACCTCTGGGAACGTTTGGGTGTTGGTTTTTACCCCATTTTTTTTTGGGGGGGGGGCCCCCTTCAGCTCCCCGGAGCTATCCAGGCTGAATGGATATGTATAACTTTCTGGCATCAGTCAATGCATGGAGTTCTTGCCTACCGGGGACCATGAGCCAGAACCTGGCCCCCTCTAGAGAGGCACGAGGAGCAATGGCCTATAAGACTGTACAGCCTCT